ATGATGGTTTTTAATAAACAAAAAAAAATTTGAAGTAGTTGAACCTTGTGGCCATGATACATGATAGGCCCGGTCCGCAAAGGCCGAAGGACATAAAGGGGAATTCGAAGATTCATAGGGGCAAAATGGGTAAATCGCCAGAGTGCCTCGTCCCTTATTTAAAGCCCCCCACACATGCAACCGCCGAAGAGCAAGTCCACGGTCCAAGAAAATAACTGTCGGTCTCCATCGGTTCTCAGGTCTCTTGTCTCGCTAACACATAACATCAAACCATCGTCATGAGCTCGCCATCCTCCTCCAAGGGCAAGAAGAAGCAGCCGCAGGCCGGGGAGAGCTCGGCCGCGGGCGGCGGGCGGTTCCTGGGCGTCCGGCGTCGCCCCTGGGGGCGTTACGCGGCCGAGATACGGGACCCCTCCACCAAGGAGCGGCACTGGCTCGGCACGTTCGACACGGCCGAGGAGGCCGCCCTGGCCTACGACCGGGCCGCCCGGTCGATGCGCGGCTCGGGGGCCCGCACCAACTTCGTGTACTCCGACATGCCCGCGGGCTCCTCCGTGACCTCCATCCTCTCCCCCGACGAGGCACAGCAGCAGCAGAACTTCTCCCCCGTCTTCGCCAACTCGGCGCCCTGCCCCGCCCCGGCCCCGCAGCTGGGCGCGGCCACCGAATGCCACTACTCGACGGGCGGGTATGCCGAGAACGCCTGGTCCGCTTCCGCGTACTACAACCAACAAGCCGACGTCACCAACCCCTACGGCAGCAGCGGAGCCTACTCTCAATGCCACTATGACAATGTGGAGCTCCCTCCCCTGCCTTCCGACCTCTCGGGCTACTCGGGCTCCTCGGTTTCCGATACCTCGAGCTACGGTTACGGCAGTGCGGATCAGGGGACCTGGGGTGAACCTGGCAACAGCTACTCGGATTTCCACGACCCCGCCGGGGCATCCGGCGGGCTTAGCTCGGGAGGGCACGGGCCATACTTCGGCTTCGACTCCACGGAGGAGTACGTGCACAGCCCGCTCTTCAGCAGGATGCCGCCGGTTTCGGACTCCGTCCCGGATAGTTTCAACTTGGGCGGCTCTTACTTCTTCTGATCGACGAAGCGAGTTGAGTCGAGTTCAAAACCAAGAGTACAGTGGACGTGTCCATTCGGATTTCGGGTCTGGGCAATTTTTTTTTCTTCTGGCCTTGTTATGGTTTTTTTTTTTGGGGTTTTGTTTCGTTTTTTCTGGGCGGGACAAAGAGGGACATGTTGCTTTGTATAGCATGTGTTGAGGTTGGTGAGACGCATGTTATGGGGGGTGACTTTTGTTGGTTATTAGTCCCCTTGTCCTTGTCGACCTTGGAGCAGTTTGAGCTCGATCCTTATTTTTAATTTTATGGATGGCACTTTCTTATGATCATAACTTTTCGTAATTGAAGGTCGCCGATCTTAGGACGGTGTCTAGAGGACATTGACACACCTGACTCCGAACCGACCCGCGAATTTCTACATCGGTCTATGCGCCCGAGATTTTCCCTTTCGGGACATGAAAGTTAAATTGGTATTATTGAGGCCTGGGTAATATGGTTCGACCGGTTCGACCCGTGTCAAATAAGACAAGTTGGATTTTGCCCCTTTTAATTCTCTCAATGTCATAACTCAAGGCTGCTCGAAATCTTCAAGATTGGTAAGGAGGGTCGATTTGTAAATCCCAGGACAAATTTTCAACTTTGTCCTACTGCAAAATGCTTTGTTTTTCAACTTTGTCCACGCATTAATGGAGACTTTTCGAACTTTATATTCTAATATTGGAAAAAATAATATCTTGAAAATTTAAAAAGCAGTTATACACGGAAAAGAAAGATTGCAGGTTGACTCATAAATTTTCTATCTAATTTCTTGTGTCTTTCATATTCGATTCGATGTGGGATCAAACGAAAAACATGGTGGTTGGTGTCCGGTCCAGTTCTGACCGTACTAACCGGCGTAGCCATGCAGAGAGGGACCCACGGACCGCCAAAACGCCGGCCGCCGCCGTTCTCAACCGAAACGGACGCTTCCCACAGAGAGAGAGAGAGAGAGAGAGAGAGAGAGAGAGGCGGCGCCTACGATCTGCTCACAATGCGAGAGATAATAAAAGCCTGCATCTTCCAGGCGAATCTCAAACCAATCGAAGAAGCAAAAGCAGTGACAGGTTCCTTCTCGATTTCTCCGAGGTTTGATCGGTACAGCATGCCCTTTAGTTCATTGTTCTTCGTTGGTAAACTGTGAGCGGTTCCTCTTCCACTTTGTGCTCGTGCATGTGTTTTCTTGTCCAGTTCAATTCGTGTTTGCATTGGATGCGAGGAAGGGGTGGTTGGTTTGAACGCAATATTGAGTATATTAAGGCTGTGCGGTGTCTGTTTTACGTGAAAGTTTCTCCCTGTGTTGCTAGTTAGTTTTCACTTTTAGGAGCGAGTCTTTGCGGATTGACGATGTTGACTCCCACCGTAGATAGCCCGTTTTCGATTGCACTCGAAAGATGGACTTGTCCTAGTTGCCAAAGTCAACGCAATGCCGTGAAGGAGGAAAATAAAGGAGTGAAGGGAGCATAACAATGAAATGAAGCTCTAGGCTTTTAGTTCGAATCCTCGACTGCATGGTTTCTGCAAGATGTCTTTCTAATTTAATGTGTAATAACATGGTGATCAATGCCAAGCTCATACTTATGAAAGATGAAATAAGGACTTTTTGAATAGCTGGAACTTTTGTAGTATCCGGCGGTAATCTCTCTCTTTTTCTGGAGGAGCATGTCGTCCTGTTGGCCACGACGGGCGTGCTTGTTTTGCTCAAAGGAAATGGAACTCCTAGTCGAACCTAAATTGCTCCAGCTTTTGCTGGAAGATCGCTTGATCTGCTCGACCTTTTTTCTCCATGCTTTCGCCTTTTTCTAAAATCGACTTCGACTGATTTTTGATAGACTTGACGGATAATATCATGACTCTGTCATGTGATTTATCGCATAGTATGCAGATTAAAGAGAGTAAAAGCTTGCATCTATGTGCGCGTATATAAGAGATGTTGCATGCAGAGGTTTGATTGATTTACAGAGTGTTAACTTTGCATATAAAGTGTGGTTTGTCTCTGTGGCTGCTTCTTCATGTTGTCATTTTCGTTATAATTTGCTAGGAGGCACGATTTATTCCGCGGTGAATGCTATCCTCACTGTTTCTGCACTCCCTTGCTAGTTACTCAGGGAGATGCTCTCGAATGTTGATCAGGCATGACTGAGTCATTTATTGGGATGTTGGAATTCCAGCATCGCAGAGCTGTGCCCCGTTGACTTGCCTGCCTCAGGACCAGCAGCAGTCATATGCCCGAATCCATTTCGTCCTAGGGCTTCTCATATGATCGATGATGTTGATAGGTACTATCTGCAAGTAGAAACAACATGCCTATTTTATGACTGAAGTGTACATAAAACCTTTCACTGGTTATGATTGGGGCACTCGCGAGTTCGTTGTAGCTACCAGCTTCAGAATAGGGCAGAATGGTTATGTCCTTTGGATTTTAAATTGTATTTCTGTCCGAAAATAAGCCAAATCAGAAAGTTCTCTTACCAGTCTTTGTCTGAGAAAATATATTCTGCCATCTTGTTTTTGCAGAAATTGGTCCAGACAGGAAGGTGGATTGATTTCTGACCTCCTTGATCTGTTTCCTGCAGAGGTACTCGTTTGTGAAATATTCGATTAATAAAGTTAATGGAATAACCGAACCATTTTTCTATTTACAGTTCACCTTATCTTCCTTCTCCATATGGCGGCGTGACAAGCGAGATGTTCCTGATGTTTCTGGATGTGACCAAGGCTTCCTCAGCTGGTCACCTCCTCAGCGCAGAGATAACCCGTAGGTGTATGATGCGCTCTTGATTAGCCGAAACTTGGCTCATCCTTCCTGCTCTTCCCCTGAAGTGAACCGGCAGTGACATAATAGTTGAGAATCCTTCTCGAAGGTCAATTGTCTTGATTGTGCATAGCATTTTAGGTCGTGCTTGCACGCAGGAAAAGCCGAGTCGGTGGTGTGCCTGTGTTCAGTTAGTTCCCTGTGTCTGATTGTGCTGTTAGTGTCCCCCCTGTACATCAATCTCTGCTAAAAATCAAGATTTGCAATTTCTTGAATTGTTAAAGTCGAAAATTTGGCATCTGTAATAATTGTAATCACAGTGCATTTTGGTTAATAAACCACATTGAGGATAGCTTGCAACTGATGGCTTCTGAGTTTCTTCTAAGGACCTTTGAACACCTAATACGATACCGACTTCACTTTGATGTTACGCTCTCGGTTCTGGTTTCGGCTTGTTAGACCCTCAAATGTAATACTAGAGGCTTGGAGGGTTTCCTCCAACTGCTACTTTGGCTCCAAGCTTTTGTTCCAATGCCTTTCTGGTAAGAAGCCAACTAAAAGCTCACCTAAGAAGAAAACTGAAAGCTTTTCAGTTAAACTAAATGGGAAAAAGTGAAGGGTCATCATCCCTAAGTTACAGTCCAATTCGAGAATAGCGATACCAGAAGGTTCTGATCTACCATATTCAGTTCCTGAAAATTGGAAAATGTTCCTTTGGACAAATTGTAGACTGTGCCTCTCTCTCTCTCTATGGAGGCAATAAAGAATCGAAAAAAATAGTTGTTTGGGAACATCAGAGAATCGATTAGAACCAGGCAATAGAGCGTTTGGTGAGATAGACAGATTAAGCTAAGTTATGTATTTCTTTTCCGGTGATCTTGGCAACATAGTTGTTATTTTTTTAATTTGAGAAAATCATTGGAGATTATGCAGTTCCCTTCTAAACAAGCATTTCTTTTCCATGGAAGTAGCTTCACCTGTCCAACGGCCATAACTGTGTGACCACCTTTCCTCCTTCACAAACCTGCCACCGACTATATGATGCCAGTCAGCCTCTACTCCCCCCCAAGAGTTTGATCACCAACCTCTCTCTCCCTCTTCGGACATTTTTTTTATATAGCTGTTTCTTAGGAGGAGTTCAAGGTACTCGCGCGCTGAAAACATGGAGAGAAGGGGCATCTGGGCAGCGTTCGAGATGGCGGTGTTGTTGCTCACCGCGTTGTTAGTGGTAGAAGCGCAGGCGCAAGACACATCCTGCCTGAGCCGGTTAGCTCCTTGCCTGAACTACCTCAACGGGACTCGCGACCCGCCGAGCGCTTGCTGCGACCCTCTGAAATCCGTGATAAGCTCGGACCCCAAATGCCTGTGCGGCTTGATCAGCAACCAGGGCGCCAACCAGGCTGAGCAGGCCGGCATCAACGTGACCGAGGCTCAGGAGCTGCCCGGTCGGTGCGGGCAGCACGTCAATCCCATCGCTTGTCTCTCGGGTCAGCATCACATTTTTCATTCTCCAGTCGTGATGTTAGTCCTATCGATTTCACACTTGTAACACGCCTGAAGTTCTGGCCTTCTATCTTTCAGGTTCTCCCAGTTCCAGGGAGTCGAACGAAAATTCGGCCGGTCTCTTTCCGGGTTCGTCTTTGAGGACGCCGATGGCGGTCGTAGCTCTGTTGGTGACTGCTCGGATTCTGTGGGATTAGAACAGTCGGTTTCCTTCATCATGCTTCGACTGACTGACTGATCTTTGTCACAAACTGTACCATGGTTATTGTTCTTATTTTATTCCATTCTTTAAGCTTTCTTCTTGAAGAAACTGTCTTGATTTCTCAGGCTATGAATGTTCTCAATAAACGCTGCTTCCATCGAGAATAAATCCCTGCTACTTTCGAATCGAAGCTCGATATTTGAAAGAATTGCATGTTAGGGATGGTGTTGTTGAGAGTCGGCTTGAATTGCCTTGATAAAATAAACAGAACCGACGCTTACCAATCCGAGGAACGGTTCCTCTGGGAACTAGGGTGTCATCTGTTCGATTCGGTTCGCACCGAAAAACCCAAACCCAAACCGAATCAAATCGTATGGGATGTGTGCATGTTTCCTAGTAATCGTCTAAAAGCACCTCCCGAAATGATAGTGTGCATTATGTTCAAATTGAGATCGATGTCCCATTCTATTTTTTCGTGCCCAAAAGTACAGATGTTGTCTCTGTCCTAATAAATTTCGGTTCACGTTGGCAATTGTCAAAAAACTGTCCATGAAAGTTTGAAATAAAAAGCTCGTATGTAATATAGGGTGTGTTTGTTCCGCGTAAAACTTCATCATAATGGAAAATGCTTTCGGTGGAAGCCATTTTCAAGAAAAGTAGTTAGTTTTCATATATTCGGCGGTTTGCTGAAAAAGTGTGACCGAGAACGTTTTCGGGTGTTTAATGGGTATTGAAGAAAGTGACTTGGGAATTCGTTCGCTCATCTTTGATGAAAACGTGAAAGTGGTGATTAAACCCCGCACCTGGTACTCCGTGGCTATACTTCCAATCCCTTCTGCAATGCCTGTTGGCAAACAATCGCAGCTTATTAATCAGAGGAAAATTTGTGAAAACGCGTCAATGGATTCGATCTTCAAGAATTAAAACGTAGAAAAATTTCCAAACTAAGTAGAAAAAAAATAGTGGTGTGGATTGGGATTAGTACAACCTTTGCGTGAAGAAGCGAGTGTTGTTTAACCGCAAAGCCTCAAAGCCAAAAATATCCGCTCCGGCGACACTCCGCTCGACTCCACAGAAGAAATATCGCTAAAAGCACAAAAAAACAAAAAAAATTAAAAAAATGGGATGATGATATTTCGTAACTGATTCAGTTCAGTCACAGAACAGTCCCCCAAAACCTCTCCTAAAACCTCCCCATTCCCCAATCCTTCTTCATTCCTTCTTCCGCCTCCACCACCGCCGCCGCCACCGCCGCCGCCGCCGCCGTCTCTCTCTCTTTCAATGTCCGCGCTGTGTCCGGTGCCGGACATATCCGCGCGCTTCTTCCCCAAGCCCCGGCCCTCCTCCGGCAACCTATGGAGCCTCTTCTTCGCCGTCAGGTGCCCTCGCTCCTCCAGGACCGGCCGCTCCTTCCGGATAGCCAGCGCCGTCTACACCGAGGGCGTCTCCCTCAGCGCCGCCAAGCTCGCCGGCCAACGGCGGGACAGGTCGTCGGAGCCCGCGGGGGACGCGATCTCGCTCCTGAACGAGAGGATCCGGCGCGATCAGGGCGGCGGCCGGGAGGCGTCGCGGAACACGATGGACTCGGAGGAGGCGGAGAAGTACATCCGGCTGGTGAAGGAGCAGCAGCAGCGGGGGCTGCAGAAGCTCAAGGGGGACGGGGGAGGGAAGGACGGGGTGTTCAGCTACAAGGTCGACCCCTACACGCTGCGCTCCGGAGATTACGTGGTGCATAAGAAGGTAGGTATCGGGAGGTTTGTCGGGATCAAGTTTGATGTGCCGAAGGGATCGGCCGAGCCGATAGAGTATGTTTTCATCGAGTATGCGGATGGAATGGCGAAGCTCCCGGTTAAGCAGGCGTCCCGCATGCTTTATCGATACAATCTGTGAGTTCTTGATAGTTGCGGTCTGCGTTATAGTTATCTTGTTGATATGGTTTAGCATATTTCTCAATTCTATGATGCAACTGAATCACTTTCTGTTCGGCCTCTGCCATACATATTGTGGATAGGTAGGTGACTGTTGCAGTAGCTGAGGCTTGTTGCTCTCTCAAGTCTACTATATTTAGGGACGACTGATACTTACAGTATTTGGAGACATAAAGTAGGTACTACTGTATTTGGCTGCTTAATTGTAGGTGTGCAGACAGAACTGAACAGAACAATAGCGGTTAAGTTCAATCTGAATATTCTTAAAACTTAATTGAACAGCTAAACCCAACTGACCTTTTATTTTTGTGGCGGCGTCTTGTTCATGCCATGTAGTATTGGGAAAACTGCGATTTATAGTCGCCTCAACAGCCTACTCTGGATCTGGATTTGTCCAGAAGTGCACGGATAGTGCCTGGGAATTTTAGTTCCACTAAAGAGTGAAGTGCTTATTGGCACTTAGCAACTTGTATCGTTTCGACATTCAATGTGATTTATAAGATACTTACTAGCAACATATGCAAAGTTACCTTACTTTCATAGCAAGTGAATCTTTTGTTTTCTGACTGTCTTGTTGTGATCACCGTGCAGTCCAAATGAAACAAAAAGACCTCGGGCATTGAGCAAACTGAGTGACACTAGTGCATGGGAGAGAAGAAAGACTAAAGGAAAGGTTGCGATCCAGAAAATGGTTGTCGACTTGATGGAACTATATTTACATAGGCTTAAACAGAGAAGGCCTCCCTATCCAAAAAGTCCTGCCATGGCTGAGTTTACTGCTCAATTTCCTTATGAGCCCACCCCGGATCAAAAACAGGTCTAATTTCTATCTGCAGATTTTCATTGCTAAACAGAGAAAACAATCACAAGCTTCACTGATACGTTTTTTGCTTTTGTGTCGTGTACCAAAAAGCATTCTTGTGGTGGAGAGGGCACAATGAGTGTGGAGTAGTCTATTTGCCTCCTATTTTTGAAACCCTAAAAATAAAATAATGCTCTCGTTTCCATCTTGAACTATATGGTGGTGCTTTAGTCTTCTTATATTAAAGAAAGGATTTCTTCCAAGTCCTTGAGCTAAGAGGAGACAAGGACCATGTGATTGGAGACTGTGTTTGAATATTTTCCAGAGAAAAAACAGGCTGGTTTCATGTTGTGAGCTGATTCTATGTAAAGCCCCAGAAAGTGGAATAAATGCCAGAAGAGTTGTATAAAGCTCATTCCTGTTATATTCATTCTTACTTCCCATTTCCTGACAATCCCTTATTTATAGGGTTCTCTCTTTTGTCGATTCACCTTTATTTGCCACAATGAACAAAAGTTGAAAAAAGAAGATTGCATTTCTGAAGTCAGTTTATTCCTTCACGCGAAAAAGTCATTGTAATTACTAATTAAATGATCTAAGTACGGATCTTTTATGGCCCTTTCCTCTTACATATGAAGTCTTAATACAGGCTTTTATTGATGTCGAGAGGGATCTGACAGAGAGGGAAACTCCAATGGACAGGTTAATTTGTGGCGATGTTGGATTTGGTAAAACTGAAGTCGCACTACGTGCAATCTTTTGTGTAGTCTTCGCAGGGAAGCAAGCTATGGTTTTGGCACCGACGATTGTTCTAGCCAAACAGCATTTTGATGTCATCTCTGAACGGTTCTCGCAGTTCCCCAATATAAGGATTGGACTTTTGAGCCGATTTCAGGTACCTATCTTAACGTGCATCTAAATCAGTTAGTAATATTATGAAATTGTTCATAGCAATGTTTTTGGCATAAATGCTAAAGAGTACATTTAGTATCCTATAGCTCTGAATTTTGCAAATCTTTTTGCTGCATGCTAGACATTGAATTATGGTCACTATCCTTTTCATTTTGACATTTTTTTATGGCTACTTCAATCCTGGACTAATTGAACCTCTCACTCCTTGCAGACCAGATCCGAAAAAGAAGATTGCCTTAACATGATTAAGAATGGTCATCTGGATATCATAGTTGGTACTCATTCACTTCTTGGAAGTCGGGTAGTGTACAATAATCTCGGGCTTCTTGTGGTGGATGAGGAACAGGTTTTCCAACTTCTTCTAGTTTTCACTTTTTCTTATGTACCTACCATATTGGTGTATTATTCACGATTTATCGGATGGGACCACTGTTTCTTTGCTTTGCAGAGATTTGGTGTCAAACAGAAGGAAAAGATTGCTTCATTTAAAACTTCAGTTGATGTTCTCACTCTCTCAGCAACACCCATACCACGTACCCTTTATTTAGCGTTGACCGGGTTTCGTGATGCAAGGTATTGAGAGTTTCACGAATCTTTAGTGCAGGAAGAAGTTATCTTTCTATTGCTTAGCTGATGTTAAACTTTGACGTCTAGGGAAATATAGTCTTAACCTTTTCACAGATATACTTGCTGCTCGAGGTGAAATTAGATTTTGATGCGTACTCAAGTAGTTGTATGTAATCCTACATTTGAACTCTCGAGAGATGAAACGAACTTTTGATTTTTGAGCATTTTAGATCAAGTTATTTTTGAACATGTTTGACATAGTCTATGTGTAGACTTTTTTTTTTTTTTTTTTTTTTTTTTTTTTTTTTTTTTTTCCCTCTTTTGAATACTTGTTATTTGTTTTGTTTTGTTTTTTCTGTTTGTTATTCCCTCTTGTTTCTTTTTTTTTTTTTTAAAAGGATAATGTTAAAAAATTTATGTTATCTGCATACAAAGAAAGGTTTGCCTTTGTCACTGTTTTATTTGCAAAAAGAAGTGCAAGATTATCGTTCTTCTTTGTCATAATGTAATATACATATATAATGTGGCCAACTACCCTTTTAGTTTCCCTCAAATTTCGTTTGTTTTCAGTTTGTTACCTAAAAATTTTGAGTATCTATTCCCTCTATTACATCTCTAAAATCCCGAATTGCCTTATGGTATAATTATAAAAGTGTCATATACTTTAATCTTGGCAAATACCACTCTTTTCTTCTTATTCCTTTTAGATGTGAGTTCCTTCAAGGGTTAATTATTCTGATGCCCCTCCAATTATGGATGCTATTTTAAGGATACTTGTGCATCTGTATGTAACTTGCATTGGTGTTGGTCAAAGATTATTAGGTTCAAGAACATTTTTGAAAGTATGATAATCTTTCTTAAACGGTTTTTCTACACTAGCATGTAGGATGCACTCAATGACATGTTGAAAGGTTTAGTTGCATATTTTCCCCCAGCTTTGGAGTTGATTGAAATATATT